GCTTGGTCCAGCATGAACAACTGCTCAGAAAAGGCCCCTGTCCTGCCTGCAGGACAGGCACAAGCAGCCCTGTCCCCAAGCAAAGGCATCAATCGGGGAGGGCAAGCGGTACCTGGAGCAGACCCAGATGATGGAAGATGCCCTTTCCCCAGCCCAGCACTACTGCACGGGGGAAAACAGATCCCTTCAAGGCGGTGCTCCAGGTCTCCTGACAGTCCTCATCTCCAGTCCGTGTGGCTCAGTCTCTGGTGACGAAGGCCACGCACGTAAATAAATCCATGATCTGCTCCTCCGGTGCAACATGCTCATGTAGCTGCCACCGCCTCCGGCTGCTCCAGCTCATCTTCACAGTCTGAGACGTAGGACTCCATGCTCTGCTTGGCCAGCAGCTCTCTCCGGGCTTGAAGTCGCTCGCAGCGGGGACAGCGGGTGGATTTGAAGCAGGATTTGTGGTAGCAGGCTTTGCACTCTGTTGGGGGAGAGCATGGCTGAGAACTGGCAGAGGCTGACACAGACTGCCCGATGCTCTGCACCCCAGGGAGGGATGCTCCAGGCTTGTTTGGGAGGACATTTCAAACCAAAGCCATGGTTTGGTTGGAACAAGCACCATAAGTGGGGGTCCAGTACCGCTCTGGAAGCAGCAGGAAGTCATGCTGCAGGGTCCCTGCACCAGCTTGCAATGTCTTTGGGAGCACAGGCAGGAGGTTTCCTGCTCCACACAAGGTCCCTCCTCAAAATCCCTGATTCTCCAAGGAAACAGTGACTCTGCCCCAAGTTTTCTCTGGCACTGCGCCTGCTAAACCAAGGCTTGCATGTTGTCAGGAGACATTTCAAGTCAGTTCAGAGGCTGGCCCCAAGCTGCAGAAACAGGCTCTGCTTGGCCATTAGTACTGGGCATTATTGAGGATGACTCCTGGGGGCCTGGGGATTTCTTGGCAGGCAGGAAGGGCACAGGGACAAAGCCTTGAGGCTCTCTCTGCTCTACAAGGTCAGCTCCAGCCATCCAAGCAGGGGCAGGGGAGCTGTGTGCAGGCTGCAGCCTGTCCCTTAACCACAACAAGAGGGAAGCCAGGGCTCCCAGACACCTGCTCACTGTGGTCACACCCGACTGCTGCCCACTGGCTGGGGCAGGCAGCACCCAGTGCGGTCAGGAAGGGACCTACACGCTCCACCATGTCAGCAGCTCTGGCCAACCACCATTATAACACTGATCTGCTGCTGTGATAACGTGGTGCAGAGACACAGGCCATGCACAGAGGCACTCTGGTCTGGCTGGTCCTGGCTTTGTACCTCTTGCTAGCACAAATGCCACTCAAACTGGAGGCAGGCCTTGGTGGCCCCAGGGTCTGTCCCCTCCCTTTTTCTCCTCAGCATCTCACCTTCACACGTCTTGCACTTGTTGAGCTCAAAGGGGAAGATGATGTCGCCCTCATTCTGGCAGAACTCACAGATGAAGCCTTTGGCTTGGCACAGCTGGAAGGAGAAAAGGTGAGGAAAAAGCAGCTAAATGCTCCTCATCTCCCTGGCAAGCAGGGCAGGAGGTAGAGCAGAGCAGGACAGAGTGTCCTGCTCTAACCATGTGGGACAGCCCTTCCACAGCATGGAGCACAGCAAGGCAGAATCAACATGTGTTAGGGGTGGGGGAGAGCCAAAACTGGGTAACAAACATCCCATGTGTGCTGGGTAGGAGCTCCATGGAGCAGGCAGGAGCAGTTAGCATTAAATCAGTTAATTTGGTGGCTGCCCTGCATGTCAAAGGTCTCCCCATCGGTTATCTTTGCAGCAAAGCCTGCTCCCAAGGGTGCTCCTGGGGGTGTGGAGCCATGCAGGAGGCAGGTGAGGAGGCCTTACCATGCACTTCTCCACGTGCAGGCTGCCTGCCTTCAGGAGCTCCGTCAGGCGAGGCACCAGGTCCCCTCTCTTTGTGGCGCTGAGGTCGCTCAGTGAGTAGAGGTGCAAATCCTCCGTCAAGTGGCCAGGCACTGCATCGAAGGAGTCTAGAAGGCTGCAAGGCCAGAGAAACCAGAGCTCAGAGCAAAGTGACTCCACTAAGCCCCCTCTCTCCACCATTTCTGCTGTCTCCCCCTCTCCACTCCCCTCTCCCCCTGTTGCACACTGCACAGGCTACACAGACCCCCAGTGCAAATTGCCAAGGGACAGATCCAGGACAGCAGAACAGCTTCATCTCACAGCCCAGGACTCACTCTTTAGCTAGCCGGCATGTCTTAAACATGTTCTTCATGTGGAAAAGCTGAATTCGCAGCAGCTGGAGAGGAAGTGGGGACAAAAGAATCAGTAAACAGAGCATGGTCCTTGGCCAAGCAGATCTGCCCCATTTCCTGCACTGGTGAAACAACCATTGCTCCTCAGCTACCGAGGTGTTTACACCATGCAGGGCAAAGCAAGCACAACCATCTCCATGTGCTCCAGGAGATAAAGTGAAGCCCAGCTGGACAACAGGCAGAAATTCCTTTGGAAATTCCTACTTTACTGAATAAAGAGCAAGAGGTGAATGGAAACCCATGGTGCTGAGTTTTAAGCCTCAAAAATGGAAACAGCCACTTCTCCGGAATCCAGTTTACAACTGGCAGCCACCCACCTCACCCAAACCCCACTCAGGAAGGCATGGAAAGGGTCTTACCCACACTTGGTTGAGAGACTTCACTTTCCGGTACAGGGCAGGATTGATATCCTGCACATTGAAGAGGGGGTCATTCCAGATCTTGCTCAGCAGGTCTTTGGAGAAATTGCTCACGTAGTACTTGCTGAAGTCCCACTTGCGCAGGATACGGCTGGGGATGACCGTCTGGGCATTCTCGTGGCAGCACTGGCAGAAATACTTCCCCAGGTATTGAGAGACTTCACTTTCCGGTACAGGGCAGGATTGATATCCTGCACATTGAAGAGGGGGTCATTCCAGATCTTGCTCAGCAGGTCTTTGGAGAAATTGCTCACGTAGTACTTGCTGAAGTCCCACTTGCGCGGGATACGGCTGGGGATGACCGTCTGGGCATTCTCGTGGCAGCACTGGCAGAAATACTTCCCCAGGTACTCACAGTCCCGCAGCCGCTTGATGTAATCTGGGCAGACCCAGGCAGACAGGGAGGTCAGCCAAGGCATAGCCTCTACCCAACCACACACTGGACTCCCAACGTTCCTCAGCATTTCCAACAAGTAAGGCAGCCTGCCTTGCCAGTTTCTACTGCAGCCCCAGATCGCTCAACACTGGGGTCTGCAAGCACCCCGGCCAACTGCAAAAGCATTTGGGACCATAGTCCAGTCTCATGCAGCCACATCTATCCACACATTCAGGAAAGATGGCTGGTCAAACAGCTCTGCAGATGTACCCACAGCAGGACCTGCTGGGAGTGTTAGGACCCCAAGAGATTACTTTGCCTTAGAAGAGTCAACATCTGAAACACCCTCCAGAGGGCTGGCTGCTCTTTGCCTCCACCAGCCCCATGATCTTCTGGAGAAGGAGGCTTCTCTGTGGGTGGTGCACACCGATGTGCAGGCAGAGCTGGCAAAGGCAGCACACCATTTCCCCAGTGACCTTGTGCTGAGCTCTGTCACCATCCACCCGCTCCCCACTTGTTCACAGGTTCTTCCCCACTCTCCAGCTATGGGTCAGGGTCCCAGCACTCACCAGGATCAGTCCGGATGCCACAGCCTGCACACCGGTAATTCTGCTTGGCCACAGCCACCTTCCTCCTGCCCAGAGACAGAAGACAACACGTCTGAGACAAATCCTGATGGCACCAGAGGACAGGCACAGGGCTGGATGGCAGAGATGGTCACATGCTCTGACAACTGTGGACAACACATCCAAGGGAAAAAGCCCTTTTGTGCCCTGGTACACACCAAAGACACCGATCACAGGCATGGACTCCATCTCACAGCACCAGCTGCCAGTGGTGACCACTGTGGGTTTACCAGACTCAGAGCAGGGAAGCCCCAGTGGTCAAGTGGGGAGGAGAAGATAATCAACCTTGGTGTTGATGGAAAAGGGTTGGAAAGGGCAGGTCCCCAGAGAGCCTTAGCCGTGTGGGTCCTTACGTTGGGGCTGGGTGAACATTGAAGATGATCTGTGGTCGTGGTGGGGCCCACTCCAGGTTTCCGCGCACCCGAATCCTCAGCTTGTAGATGTCAGCGTGTTCTCCATCGTCAGGAGAGATGGGCAGAGAGTCAGGAATGGGCAGGAGCTGGGAGAGGCAGGCAAGAGGGTCAGATCCCTGCCTGGTACTGCAAAGGCAATGCACCTGGCTGGCTTGCTAGAAACCTGCAACTGCAGCCCTCTGTAAAACTGCCAGGCACTGAGCTGCTGCTCCAGCTGAGTGGGGGCTGGAGAAGGGATGTCTCCAGGGATCTGGGCACTGCGCTGTAGGAGGCTGTGGTTGCAGAGCCCCTCTCAGATGCACACATCTCTGGAGCCCAGACAAAACCCCTCCTCCAGCTCCACAAAGGGATCACCAGGACTAGCAAGGCCCTGGGTAGGGGGCTGAAGTCAGGGGTTCAGGGAAAATCAAATGCAATTGGTGACCGGGGACTCACATCCCTACCTTCTGTGGGGCGTCATGCTCAGGGACCAGCCACTCCAATTCAGAGGCAGCTGGGAGCTGCATGCCCTCAAACTGCTTCAGCAAGCCCATGGCCACGGCCTCCGCCGAGTTGGAATTGAGGAAGGAGTGGGATCTAGAGAGCAAAGGGAGTGGTTAGTACCGAGTCTCAGCTCTGCCCTCCTCACAGCCCCCGATGCCGGTCCCAGCTCAAGCCAAAGATGCTCCCTTCAACTCTGGTACCTTATTTCTGCACCACTACACAGGCTTAAAATTGATATACATGTTTGATTTCTGTCTTTGCAGCTGCCCCCCAGCAAAGCTGGCTAATGGCACAACAACTGTTTAGAAAGGCAAGCAAAATACATCTTACCCAGTGAAACCTGCTGCTGTTCACAGGGGAAGCTGCAAAGTGAGAGCCAGTGTCTGTACGAGCCAGAAGTAACTGCTCTCCCAATACGAACCCACCCAAGAAGCTGCCAAACAGTGACACAGCTTTGTATCTCACCCAACAAGCAGAGGGGTCCCTGCATCCCAAAGGGGGTTTTGCTTTCAGAGAGAGCATTAACACAGCAGCTGTGCTTAAAACAGGTTGTGATTCACCTCCCCACAGTCCCCACCTCTCCACCTCAGGGCAGTACTGGCAAAGGACCAAGTACTTCATGTTTAAGCTGCTGCTGTGTTGCACAGAGAGTTTGTGAGCATCACTGTCTGCCAGCGGTTCCACCTCTGGATCAGAGCACAGCAGCGAGGGCTGAAGAGAAGTTGGCAGCACCATGTAGTCTAACAGGCCATCCCAGCTGAGAGGAGGGAGGCAGGGGAGGCTCAGAGCCAGCAGCAAGCCAGCAGCCACTCCAGATTCTCCAGGTCCTCTCCTCAGCCTCTTACCTACTAGGAGGTATGTGGATCCCTCCTGACACCAGTCCATATCATATCTACCTCATGCTCATGTAATACATGAATGATTCGGATCATCCCAGGTGCTGTTTCCCAAATTTAAGACTAGGACCCAGTTGGAGGGATGTCCACTCCAGTGCAAAACAGCAGCTGATGCACGTGGAAGAGCAGAGTTGGGCAGGAAAGGGAAGTTGGTACCAAGATGTGCTGCCACAAGAAGACGTACATGGACTCGGAAGAGAGAAAGGACTTCCTGCTGGAGCCTGGGTTCCTCTTGATGTCTGCATCTGAATCACAAACAGACAAGGTGGAGCAGATGGGGTAGAGCAGGGGGACACACTCATTTCAAACCAAAACTTCACTGTAAAACTCATCAAGCTGTTCAAAAGCACATGAACTACAGCATCAACTTCTACCAGTGGCACAGAGCAGCAAGGAGAGGTGCAGTCTAATCAGATGCCTGTCGGAGTTACAGGGAAGGACATGGTGGGATGCTGTGAAAACAGTGAGCCTGGGGTTTGCGGGAAACAAGTGGCTGCTGATACAGGTCACACACCAAGTCCTATCAGTGACATGGCCTGAAACAGTACGCACACAGGAGCTAGGAGGGCAGGACAGCAAGGTTAGCAAGAAGGTTTAGTAGCTCTCTACAGAGAGTATAGATGCTGCAGGGGATTAGCAATGGGATGCAGAGCCCCTCTCTCTACTTGACTGCAACCTGTAAGATCAGATGGTGGCTATGCCACAGCTTGTCAGTGACTGCTGACAGCCTAAGCCCAGCACTTCAGACACATCAGCATCCATGCAGAGAGCGGGCCAGCAGCCACAGGGGCCAGCCCTCTGCAGAGGCCACAGATCCATCTCGCTCTCCCAAGGAGGGAAGGGTCCAAGAGGAGGTGCAGAACACTGGGGACCTGCCCCCTCCACCCCTCCATCAGCTCCACAACAGCCCTGGGCTGCCCTGCATCCCTCCTCGGTGCCAGCCTTGGTTACCAGGCAGTACCCACTGGTGCCTTCATCACTCATCTCTTTCTTTCACTCCATCAGGTTTCTCTGCGAAACCCTAACAGGGAATTCATCTGAATCATAGAATGGTTTGGGTTGGAAGGGACCTCATCTAGTTCCAACCCCCCTGCCATCAGCAGGGTTCCCTTCCATTAGACCAGGTTGCTCAAAGCCTCATCCAGCCTGGCCTTGAACACTTCCAGGGAGGGGGCTTCCACAACTTCCTTGGGCAACCTGTTCCAGTGTCTCACCACCCTCACAGTGAAGAACTTCTTCCTAATATCTAATCTAAACCTACCCTTTCAGCTTAAAGCCATTTCCCCTTGTTTTGTCATTAACTGCCCTTATGAAAAGTCCTTCTCCAGCTTTCTTGTAGGCCCCAACAAGAAGCAGAAGAACAGCAGAAGAACCCTGGGATGGGAGACTCTTACAGCAGTAGAAGGTGGGCAGAAGCAGGCAGAAACCCTGCTTCATTAAGGACTCCCAGAAATGGGAAGGCAGGCACGTGAGGGCAACGTACTACAGGTCAGGACAGAAGAGAGGCCAATGCCACCTTTGGCCCAGCAGCTCTCCTTTTTGGTACCTTTGTGGATCTCTAGGAACAGAGTCTGCAGCGACCACACAACCCCCAAACACAGGCTTGCAGCTCCCCTGACCCAGTGGCCCAGTGCCTGGCTAAGAGAAGCACAGCTTGGGGTCCCTGCTCCTCCACCCCGACCAAGTCAGCTACGTGGACCCACACAGAGCCCATCTGTTCCTGTCCAGGCACCAACCACACACAGAGGGTGGGGAATCACAGCCTGGCTGAGTGGAAAGAGCAAACCCCTCAAGCCATCAGCTCTCCTTGGAAGAGTGGGACTGACCCAGGAGCAAGGGGAGCATGTCCCAGTCCTGCCCATAAATACACAGACTGATGCTACTGGAGTTCAGCATGGATGCTTGACCCTCCTTGTTTGGCATCCATTGCTAGAAACAGGCACAGGTTAAGCATCCTAATGCTAAAGAATCCACGTATCTACATCATGCAAACAAACTTCTAGCTGCAGAAAACAGGGAATTCAGGCAAATGTAGCCTCCTGACCATGTATGGCACCGGCCAGACATACCTGCCATGCTCTGGTGCCTTCAGTCCTGCACAGGAAGGTGCCACATGGTCCTACACTACGATGAACACGAGCAAAGAGCGGGGCACATGCAGCACAGTGTGGGCCAAGTGTTACAGGGAGGCAGAGCCAGCACACACAGGCACTGGCATCGTCTCAGGGATGGCAGATGGAGCCAAACCTGACCCTAGGCTCCCGCGGGCGCTAGCACTGGGATTCAGCCGCTGCTCCTTCCCCAACCATAACTGCAGACACTCCCCAAAAGCCTCCAGTAACCTGCCCAAAACACCTCTGCTGCCAATGCTTTCACCAGGTGGGACAGTACCCAGGAGGCTCGTGAACAGGCCCCAAACCGAAGGATATCACCCCAACCCACGTATGCCAGCTTCAGGCCAGGATGACCCTCCCTGGATTAAACCCCTGGGCTGTAAACACAGGAGACAGCAGGGCTGATGGGGAAGTTCTGAGCACCAGCATCTCCATCAGGAGCAACGTGCTGGTGCCAAATGCCTGACAGGAGAGGTGAGCAGCAGCCCATGTAGGCTGTTCCCTTGCTCAAGCAAATGGGGAGCACAGGAAGGTTATTTAAATGCAGCCAGCAGACCAGAAGGATTATCTAGTAGTACTGTAAACAATAAAAACACTAAGCAAGACCTGGCTGCATGTGATCCCGGTGCCCAGAGCCTCCAGGGTGAACAAACTGCCTGTGCCCTGTCTGTTCTCACTACTTCTCCCTCCAGGACTTCTTTCTGGAAAGATTATTTTCCAAGTCAAGTCTGAGCAGAGCAGGAAGGGTTGGTCGTGGTTCAGATCAGAGCTACAGCACGCCAGCTCTGCCAAGTCAAGCAGGATAATACCTGGTCCCACATGGCAGAGGACTCTGCTCTCATCCAGCCCAGGCTCAGCCTTCAGCAGCTACAGAGCCACAAAGCTGTGCCATCACCGTGACAAGCCCTACCCCAGGCAAGACAGGTCTTCACCACAGCAGGCACGTTTGGTATATCCAAAATACTGCATTGCAAAACACCCCGGGGGGATGGAGCCCACAGCAGAGCTTCTCTGCCTCCCCTCTGCTCCATCCTGCCATATCATCTGCCACGGCTTTTCTTACTCACATCTGGATGATACTGTTCACAGTTCCCAAATCAGGCTTCTGCCAAGTGTGCACGTGCACACACACACACACCTTGCACACACAGACACACACGTGGTGCAGGGGAGCACTGCAGGGTACTACCTGAGAACAAGGAAGCCATTGACACTGAGAGGCCGTTCTTGGACATTTGAATCAGGTTAGATCCTTCGTTACCATCTGTATAACACGGTGATGACAAAACAGTTGACTTCAGTGCTTCAGCCAGGCCAAAGAGAAAGGGCATAATACAAGAGCAGCACTCACACAAGAGAAGCCCAGAAATGAATTCACACACCCCTCCGTGGGCTTCACAACTGAGCCCAAAATCTAGCCCTCAGGGACTGAAATGAGGGCTTTGCTGTCAACAGGCAAGAGACGAGAAGTTTGTAACTGGAGACAGGACTGCTCCATCTTCTTCTTAAAGTCAGTGAGATGGAGAAACTGCTGAGAAGTAAGTCATCCACCTCAGAGGATGAACAAGGCTCTGAAGGAAAGGGACACCTAGGGATGCAGACAGGTCTCCTGTGAGCACTGAGCTCAGCCACCCAAGCTGCCAGAAGCAGAGACTGCAGGTATTACAGGTCAGGATGTGACCAGTGCCCACCACCACCACCCAGGAGGTAAGTTGTCAAAGCTAGGGTTCCTTCTGTCCGGGGAGGAGGAGAGCAGGATGACAGCTCTCCCATCTCTCTTTAGCTGTGACAGCCACTCTGTGGATCAGGCAATGAAATGGAAACCACCTACCAGCCAGAGGAACTGAACACTAGAGGATTACAGAGGATTTCAAAGGAAAGTCGTGCCACCATATAAGGGAAACTGGTTGCTCTGTTTATGCTCAGAATTCAGTTATTTGTTTGGGAAAAGCCATCCTGGAGGCCAGGGGGACATGGTCTTCTTCAGTGTGATTGACCTTAACATAACCACACCCAGGAGAAGTCCGTCTCTACACAAGAAGCCAACACAACCATTCCTCCCTACCTCGGATCTCATACTCTTCCACATCCTCCGCAGAGCCGGAGTCAGAGAGTCGCATGGAGCCGTGAGAGCTGAACTGGGACCCGCTGTCTGTCGCCACAAGACCTGGGGAGAAACACAACACAGCCAGGCCATCAACAGAAGTGGTCTGAAGGGTCACTGACAGCTAAGGGAGAAGCTGATAGCCAGGTACGGCCAGGGCAGGGAAGGATGGAGGTCAAGGATGGAAAACACTGTGAGTTCAAAATTAAATCACATTCTATAACTCAGCAGCAGCAGCAGCACACAAGTGTTATCAGTGTACAGTATCAGTCCCATTATGGTCTCCAACAGCAGCAGAGTTTCACAGATCTCTGCAGCACCTTGGTAGCAATACGATTGTTTCCCACAAATAGGCAGGAAGGCAGGATGCTATAAGGACAGGCAACAGACACAAACCCCACATCCCACCAGTTGATGAGCCCAAAAGACATCACCCACTGTCTGAGCCCATCTCCTGGCAGGTAGGGAACAGGTGCTTGGTGCGGATCTGCTGGCGCCGAATGCGAATCTTTTGCTTTAGCTCCTGGATCTCCTTGTCACTGTCTTCCTCCTCTTCCTCCAGCTGCCGGCTCATCATGTTGCATTTCATCAGCTCAATGGCAGCAATCAGGGACTCTGAGATGCTGAAGTGAGCATTCTCCTGCAAAGCAAAATCAAAAGCTTCCAAGGGTGTACTATGGAGAAACTAGAAAGTCTTGGTACAATGTTATTCCCTACCTGTGACAGGAAAGAGCTTATTACTCATGGAGGGTAAAGACCTTAATCCCTGTCAACCCCATGAAACATGACTCTTCTATGAGAACCTAGAAACTAAAGCCTTCTTGGGCACCAGAATAATCACAAAACACAAGGGGCATCCTACGAAGAGGATGTGCAACACATCCACTCTGGGGAGTCAGCACATGTCGCTGAGGAGCCCTCACATGTTGCAAAGTTGCTGTGCTTATGCTGGATCCAGCTGCCAGACACCACTGAGCAACTCAAGACTGAAGTTCTGTGCACAGTTCTATAGCAGGAAATATTATGGGATTGCCCTCCCCACAGAGGGAAGTATCACTGAACTGCAGCAAGATACATTCTGCAAGGCGCACAAGCTGCCTCCCTCACCTTCTCCAGGTCTGCACAGCTGCCAAAGTCCTGCTCAGAGAGGTAGCTGATGAGGGACTGCCCTTCGGAGGGTCTTCTGAACATCCCTTCCCCCGAGCTCAGGTACTGGCCAGAGTCTAGAAAAGCAAGAGACACACGTATGAGGGAGGGACCTGCTGCTATCCCCATGGGAATGAGCCCAATGACCATCCCACAAGCAGGTGCCAGAAGCTGAGGCCACTGCATCTGATGGAGGAGCCTGACCAGGAGCGAGTGAGCCTGCTGAGGCTGGCTGTACTCACCATACTCCATGTAGAGGGAGCTGGGTGTGCTCAGTTCACTGCTCTGGGTGGATGCAGAGACTGGCCCTTGCCCTCCACCCGGATCACCATGGGACTCTGGAAGGGAAGATGACACCAGGCACATGTCAGTACCCCAGAGGCAATCCAGCCATTGCACAACGTGAAATGGAAGGGGCTCAGCACCACATGGGCAGGTACAAATGGATGGGAAACAAGGAGACATCCTGTGCTCTGCTGGCCTGCTCCAAACCACAGCTGAGGGCAAGCTTAGGAGGGGACAAAGCTAGAGGGGTGTTTCAGGCAGGAGAGGACGAGCGGAAAAGAAAGAGAAGCTGATGAGAGCCATGGAGCAGAGAGTCACAAAACAAGGGGAAACCTGAGCAGCTGAGGGATCTGTGGGGCTCCCAGCCCTGCAAAACAGCTTGGACAACAGTGGAAGTAGGCATCTCAAGGACATGCTCTTGCTCAACTCGAAGCCAGGGTTCCCTGCACACAATCCCAGAGCCTGGGTTGCAGCGCTCAAGGTGACCTACACAGGCTGTGGGCAGGGCTCTGCCCCATGCACGCACCACGGTGCAGCTCCCTGCCAGGCTGAGCTGGCGGGGACTGCCAGGAGCTGGCCTGACCAGAGACCAACAGTGGCTGGTGCTCTACAGAGAGCCATGGCCCCAGGGAGTGCCCGGACAGAGTGGCAGTGTGATGGAGGACTGCTGAAGGAGACTGAAAGCACCCCGAGCAGTGGGCATTGGCCAACATCCCGACCACAACAGAAGAGCAACCCTGTCCTCTCCACCTCCTACTCCTCTGCTCCCAGCTTTGTGCCATAATCCTGGTGTGGCTGGAGGCTCCTGAGCCCACCAACACCAGCATCTCCCTGCCAAGACTATGAAGCAGCAGCCACCAGGATGGGGCTTGAGATCAACCTACCCCATAGGCTGGGTGACAAAGGAGACCCATTGGGGTGGGAGGCTCTCATGGCTAATTGCTGTAGCCTGGCAGGGTGTCCCACAGCCAACTCAACCCTGCTGAAAACCACCATGGAAACCATCTCATGATCACCAGCCTAGGGGCTGCTGTATACAACAGAGCCTACTGCTGAAGGGTAAAGCGAAGCAGGGCTTGGCATCCTCTGCTGGGGCTGGACACAAGGCTGGACACATCTGTCTGAATGCCCACCACCTCCAGGAAGGAACCTTCCCATCTGTAGAGCACTCAGCACCCAGGTGTGAGCTTGACAAACCCAGTGCCGATGTTCAATGGATGCAAAAGAAAACAGACCATTTTTTTGAGCTGCCGAGTCTTTCTGCATGTGGGGAAAAGCGATGGCAGCACCACGGCACCTCTGCTCATGGGGAAACCTGCCCCGAGCCCTGAAGAGCACCCGGGAGTTCTGGCTGCGGGTCCTGGCTGGGACACAGCTGAACTCAGCCAATATCAAACCTCCCCATGACAGAGATCCACTAAATGAAAGGAAAAATAAGATGTTCAAGCCCACACCTGCTTAGCTGCCAGTCCTTATTCGCTAGGTGAGAGACAAAACCTCTCCTGGCTTCCAAGGCAGTGGGGTGGAGGGAAGGGCAGGGAACACAGCTCAGGGACTCGGTGGCCAGTGCTCCCTAATGCCATGCAGGGGAGTTGGGCACCCTTCTGGGTCTGGTCCACTGCTGAAAGGAAAAATAAGATGTTCAAGCCCACACCTGCTTAGCTGCCAGTCCTTATTCGCTAGGTGAGAGACAAAACCTCTCCTGGCTTCCAAGGCAGTGGGGTGGAGGGAAGGGCAGGGAACACAGCTCAGGGACTCGGTGGCCAGTGCTCCCTAATGCCATGCAGGGGAGCTGGGCACCCTTCTGGGTCTGGTCCACTGCTCACAATAACCAAGCTGGGATCTTCAGTCAGGCCGCATGCATAAATCTGAGCACCCTTCAAAGCACCACCTGGGACACAGGAACAAAGAACTGGGTTTGTTTTCTAAATGGACACTAATGAGTTTGATGGAAATCCTGAACTTGATGCAATGATCAAATGTAATGAATGGCTGTTACACTGGCTCCCAAACCTGCCACGGGATCTTCTATTATAATGGTGATATCCCTGAGGCCTCCTGGGTAAACAGAGGAGGAGGAGGGCAGCATTAAGGGAAAGAAAACAGAGACAGACTCGTTACTACTCAGCAAGGACCTCCACTTCTTCATGAAGGCAACACCAGTGGGGCAACTCCCACAAACTCACTGTCCCCTCACATCCCACTGCTCCCCACCATGCATTCACCCACTTAAGAGCACAGGAGGACACAGCAGGTTACCAGTAGGATGACATTCCACCAGTAGGATGAGCCCAAGCCCCAGCCCAGTGCCCTGCCATGGCCCCATGCCCCAGTGGGGCAAGACCACAGTGGGGAAGGAGGACGGTTAATGCCACAGCATTGCTGCTGTTTTCTAAGTTTTTGGCAAAAGCTGACAATATTAACAACAGACCAGCCCAGGGCATTCTGGGAAGTGAGGTGTCAGCCCATCACTCCAGTGCAGAGCAGGAAAGCCAAGGGCAAAGACCAAATTTCCCAATGGCTCACTCACTGTTCCCCTCACCAACCTGATCCATGGAGTCAAAGAGGCGGCCAGCATCAGCCTCTCAGTACCAGGGAACTCCCACACCCCAAAGCCACCCCAGAAAAGTCATCTCATTACCATGCAACTTCCCCGAAGCCACATTGGTGTCGGAATGTGAGCGCACATGGCTCTTCTTGAGGATGCCCTGTGGAGCTGACGACTGTCCCTCCGAGAAGCTGGACCGGCGCAACAGGCTCAGGCCCCTGCTTCCACCTCCACTTGCCCCCTGCTCCCCCAGGGATGAGACTGAGTCCAGCTTCTGGGAGCTGCTGGAGGAGAAGAGTTTGGAGCTACTGCTCTTGGTGCTGTTGGTGCTGGTGCTGCTGCACGCCCGGCCCCGGCGCCCCAAGTTCCCGATGGCCAGGTACTCCGGTCCATCGTTAGCATCGCTCTGCGGATCATCCTGACTCCCCGTCCAAGTGTCCTCGCTCTGGCTGGTCGTGCTGGAGCTCATGTCGCTGGCCAGAGAGAAGGGGTCTTTGGGTGAAGGGATATCGAAGTGGGTGACAGAACCAGGCTGCTCCAGAGGAGATCTGCCCTCGCTGAAGGAGGAGGACCGGGTGGCCAGGCAGCACTCCTGAGGCTGGCTGGCACTGAAGCTGACAGAGGAGCTCGCTGGTCTCCTGTCTGGACAGAGGTAGGAGCAGGATGTCACACACCCTGGCACAAGCAGACCACCCTATGGCAATAAGCTTCTGGCTTCACACCAGCATGCCCACCCTCCACAGGCAAAGGCCAGGGATCTCCCTCCCAGTGCGGGCAGAGATCTTCTCACACCCATCCACCACCACAAATGCAAGAGCAGAAAAAGAGGCAAAATCTTTTCTGGGTCTATCCTGAGCTTCCCAGCCCACCTTCATTACCTGAGAGGCCGGAGGAGGCTGGATGGTGGAGGCTGGAGAAGGACCCAAAGCAGTGCTGCTGTGTGCAACCTGCAGTGGGGATGTACGGGGATGCAGGGAGGGCAGTCAGGCTCTGACTCTTGGTCACCAGAGGTGGACCGTCACTCTTCCTCGAAAGCTGAAGAGAGATGGCACCATTAATAAATCAGCATTTACAAGGCTACATGTCAAAGAAGCAGCAATTGAAAGGCATCGACCTGCAAGTGCCTGGTCACCAGCCAGCAAAGGCTGCCGCAGCCCTGGGGGCAGGAGGACGGGGAGGGAAAAATGCCGAGTGCAGAAGGGAAGCGGCTCTTTGCTCAGAGCCACACAGCAGGCTCCCATCTGGAAATTACCAGGCTCTCAGTGAAACGATCCAGGCAGCCCAGCGCCCCAGGTAGGCGGCTCTCGTGTCCTTCAGCGTCACGGTCACACACCTCTCCTGTCCCAGCAGAAGGACCCGATGCACACAGAGATGGCAGTGACGTGCCGGCCAGCTGAAAGAACACAGCCCCCATTTAATGAAGGCTCATCAATTGCCTTCCCCTGGGGAATTCTGTGCAAAGAAAGCAGCCACTGTTCCCCTTCTCTGCGGAGGGGGCAACCGTCACAAGGCTGCACAGAGGGTCACTGGTGTTACCAGCAGGATTGGGCACTCAAGTGTCCTGGGTTGCTGCCCATCCCCTCTGAGGGTGGCTGTCCCTCACAACCTAGCAGCTTTGCTGGCTGGCCCTGAAGCCTGGGCCTGTTGGAGAGGGCTTCAGAGGTGTCTCTTTACAAAGAAACGGTCCTCAGGTCCTCGTACTCAAATCCTCAATGCCAGCCAGAACCAAGGCACCCCACTACTGGCTCCACACAGCCATCTCCCCAATTCTGAGCCCTGCCAGGCTTGTTCAGGCAGCACAGGGACCAGTTCATCACTCTCCTCCTTTGAAGCTCCTTTTCACAGAATCACAGAATGTTAGGGATTGGAAGGGACCTTTTGTTACTTCCAAGTCCACCTCCTTGTCCGAGGGCTCTGTGTGCCCTGAATGAGACCCCACACGAGTAGCCGTAGCCAGCTGGAGCCTGGGGAGAGCCAGATGTAAAAGCCAGGACCTCAACTCACCATGGAGGTGTCGATCTGAGCCAGAAGCCTGGGGTTGTTCTGCTCGACAGCCTCCAGGCACTGCAGCATGGCCGTGACGTGGGCGTCACTGAGCAGGAAGGCAGTGTCTGCGGAGAGAAATCTGTTACTCAGGGGGGTCCCACTCAATGGTTGCTCACATGCAAACCACCTTTTCTGCCACTCCCCACACAGCTTGGAAGCAGCACCAGTTAGATATTTCCCTAATAAGAAGGAAGAGGCCCATGTCTCTTTACCTGCGTAGAATTTCCTGATGTACTGCCGGTTCCCCAGGAGTGGTCTCAGCTGCGCTGACAGGCAGTGGCACTGCAGGCTGTGCTGCAGCCACAGCTGCGCGATGGCCTGGTCCCCCGGGCCCTCTGGGTCAGGCTGGCCGCTCTCCTGCAGGCTGATGAACTGGAAAGGGATGCCAGGCACAGGTTAAGGCATGCAGGGGCAAGCAGAGGAGCAGGGGTTGTTCCAACACACAGCTTTGGTGCCCCTGATAACAGCAGCTTTCCAGTGCTGGTCACTGTCAGCGGGACAGAGGACGCGTCCCTGCAGCTTCCCAGCCACCAGGGAGGAACAATGCTTCAAAGGTCAGCAGGCGACCAAAGTCTTCTGACAGCCACCAGCACCAAGAATTTCTCCTGCACCTTCTCCCACCCATGTGCCTCGCCCCTGACCTGGAGGGACCCCACACTTCCAAATCCAACCTGTCCCTGGTGGTGATGGTCATGTTCTCATTGACACATTAACTGGAGAAGGTTACAGCAATGCCTGAGCTGATGCAGCTTGAAGAGCTGGACTGAAGTCACACAGAATCACAGAATCACAGTAGCAGGTTGGACATAGGGACTACCAGCTCCTTATGCCCATCCATGGCAGAGACCACGGATGTCAGCACAGGGCAGCCAAGGACCAGGCGCATCCCCGCGTGCCAGCGGTCAGCACAAGGCAGGAACGGCAGAACCAAACGCACGGGGAAGACACAGCCCAGAAATGGAGCAGCCCAGACATTTGGAGATTTGCAGACACATGAATCAAACACACACACAAACGCTGCCTGTGCCGGTTCCCTTGGTGATGCCTGCTGCACCCGGCCAAGCCGAGCTGGAGACTGCCCTGGGAGAAATAAGCAGCTGATTGTCTCAGTCCAGGCCACGCCGAGTTCCCGGGATGTGGCTTGTACACAAACATGCGGCTGCTTCAGCCTTCACAAGCCATGAAGCCACTTTACCCATGGCAGCCCAACAGCCAAGGTGCCACTGTCCCACCGGTGAGGGTCGAAGCCCAACTGCCTTCTCCTCTCCCCACAAGGCCACCCCACCAGAACCCACCTTCTCCAGGTGATGAGCAGAGCCGGGACTCAGCCAGCGAATGTCCTTCACAAACTGCCAGTAATCCTTCTGTCTGCAGCACACCTGCCCAGGACAGGCACAGTTAGATGCCATCATCCAGTTAAATGACAACATGCCCCATTAGCCCCTTGCTACCATGAGAGAACAGCACCTAAACCTGTTAAGATGAGTCAGAAGATGGCCAGAGGAAGGGCAGCATTGCTTTACAGAGGAAAAACAACTCAAGTGTATAACACAGTTTTGTAGATCAAGGGATCAAGTCAAAAAACACTGGCGTGATGTAGATCAGTTGTCTCCTGGCCCTACCATGGTGACCTCTCAGTTGTGGTCAGCCCACAAGTGACTAGACAACAGATCCCTCAAGCATCTCTTCTTCTACCAGGTAACATCCCAGTCCATGTGGAGACTTGAGAGGTCTTGGGGCAGGGATGGAACATGGCACTGAAGATCCTGCTGCAACACAATAAGGATCCCAAAGGCCATCTGCACCTCATCAGTGGATTGTGGAGCAGGGCCAGCACCTCTACTGCCAGGCAGGCAAGGGCAGGCAGACAGGAGATGGGAATAGACCTCAGGTGCCAGCTGCACCTACAGCAAAGTGCATTTTGGGGCTCAGCTCTGCCCAAGTCCTCCCAATTGCTCCGTGCATGGCAGTGTCACATACACATCCACGGTCCTTCGAAAGGTCTGCCAAGTTCAAGGTTGACTGAGTTCCCATGTCACCGTTCCCCTTCCTGCCAGAGCAGAACCTAGAGGGAAGCCCTGATGCCTCAGCACCACACAGTCAGAACTCAGCAAGGAGACACTAAGGGCAACGTGGAAACACTTCCCAGCAAAACCAGCAACCACTGCTGTCTTCTGATGCCAGCCATCACTGAGGACACCAGCACAGCTTAGCACCCCAGGTAAGAAATGTGGCACTGCGTTTCTATCAGCTCTTTGCTGCTGTTTGCCTCAGCTTCACTCACACAATAAGTTGTTTTGTTCTTGGTTATTCCTCCCATTAAAGAGGAACGGCAGCAGAGTCGCTGTTTTCCTCACCACCCTACTGGGTGTAAACACAGCCTCAAAATGTCTCTCTTCACCAAAAGGTTGATTTTTTTTTTTCTTCCATCTCTATTTCCTCTTTCACAAGCATCAGAGGAATGGGTTCTGTTTTGTGGTTTATTTGTTTGGGGGAGTGGTCTGTTTTTTTTAAGACTAGAGAACTAACTGGGCAATTTTAGTCCTCTAGATTGAATTGAATTGGGGTTTTCTGGACAAATAAATTTCAGTCAACAGTTAAAAACCTCTTACCCTAGTTCTCTTAACATGTGCATGTGGATTTTTTCACCTTTTTTTATTTATTCACAGTTGTAGGAAAAAAAAAGCAAGAAAACAGTAAGTAAAAGGAAGTGTTTTACTAGAGCAACTATGACAAAACTTCTGTTAGAATGTTGTATTTCTAAGGGCCTCCCTTTGCAGCTATTCTATCTTGACTGGTGTCACACATGCCCAAGCAGGGGAGACATTTCCAGGTAAAAGAGCTGCCTTTGCCCACAGTAAAAGCATTGAGGACAGCAACACACCGTTGCAGGTCTGGCATGAACTGTTACTAATAGACAGACGAGTATAAATAATTTCAGTCTCACTTCCTGAAGCCTATTAATAGCACATCTATCAGAACAGAGCACTGCACTGCTCACATGTAAAAGGTAGCTTCTGTCTCTGTGGATCTCCCAAAGAAATCCCTGGTCCAGGCCACTGGGGACTAACAGGAACAGAGCAGCACCATAACGAGTGCTGATCACAAACTTAACAAATCCAGGGAGCAAAGCACCACGCTGGGATGAGCTGCCAGCCTGGCTCTTCCTGGAGGCTTATTAGCTGGGGTGCAGCATTGCATAGGTGTGGTTTTCCTGCTTCTGGATCCCAGCTGGGCTGTGCAAGCTGCCTGGGGCTCCTCTGCATCGCTCTCTTCTCCACATCGCTCTCTGGGTGGCAGAGCGGTTGATGGGAAGCCTGTCCCCAGGCACACCCTGCAGACTTGCTTCACCTTTCCATTGTAAATGAATTGTGCCAGTAATTGGAAGCTGAAGGGGAGGTCTTTAGGCCTCTGCACATAAGTGGGAAAGAGAAATTCTTCCAGGCAGCCATGGCAGGGGGAATGGCTGGGTGAGCAACTGCAAGGTACAACGAGAACCTGGAAAGAGAGCTCTCATTCATGAAGAGCGTGGATTTGACTGCCAGCTCTTGTTATTAACAAACACAGCTGACCAGAAACAGTAAAGATGTGAGGTTTCTCTTGCCAGACCTTGCTGGGAAGTTGTCCAAGCAACACATGATACGGGGCTGACTCATTGCAAATGCAACTTTATCACTTGGCTGCGGCAGGAAGAAAGAAGAGAGGGGCTGGCCTCAGCGCGAGTCACGCAGGTACTTAAAAAAAACCCATCAAAGGTGAATGAGAGAGAAAGAACACGTGCCCAGGTCCCTCTGACCACCAGAGTGCTCACCAGGCAAGCTCAGTCCCTGCTTCAGTGATTTCTCACACTGCTACAAGCATTGTGCTCACTCCACACTACAAGCACTGAAGCAAGCTGGAGCAGACAGGACTGTCCCAGCCGCTCACGACAGGCACTGAAGCTGTTGGAGACAGACAGCGGTGCTGGCAGGACGGAGCCCTACCTTGTCATGGATGAGCCCGTGGTAGAGGATGCTGTGCATGTCTCTGCAGAGCCGTTCCAAGCCGCCATACTTGGACCAGACATTGGGGTTGCTGGTGGACACCAAACCTTCCACTGTGGTCTTCAGGTTCCCTAGCAGCTTCCAATGCTCCTTCCTGCAGAGGAACACAGCAAGTCATGTCAGATATACAGCAAGAGGAGCTTCACAACAGGACCATGGTATTACACCCTCTCCAAGGAGGCTCTGGTCAGGCTGAAACCTTCAGTGGCCCAGAAGCTAGCAAAGGTGAGCTAAAGGACTTTACACCTCTCTGTGGTCTCCCATACATGGCTTGTGGACAATAAGCCTTATGATAATGATGCTTGTGATGACCGGTAGCCACCACCAATGTGGTCTCAGGAGACAGCCAGAACAAAGATTGATGGCTCCTGCAATATTCCAATAGCTTAATACGGGCCAACAGAGCTGGAAGAAATCTTTCCAGCCAGCATCTTGCTTGCTCCACTCACACCCTGTAGCAGGGACTGCTCAGAGCAGCGGCAGGGCAGGAGCACAGCAGCTGTAAGGCAACAACACCATGTCCAGCACATCCAACAGACACTGGCCACGCTGCACCCACATTTACAGAGAGCAGCACTCCCCGAGCAACCCGCACCACATTTCGTGCTCCAGCACCGTCAGGGTGCAGAGATGCTCCTCTCTGAGTTCGGTAACTCCTCATCTGCATCTCCACCTGCACAGCGGCTCTCTGGCCCCCGAGCTGCTGAAGGCACAAGTTAACTTTCTTGCAAAAGCGTTCGTCACGTTCTGGACAGAGATTAGCAAACTGCAGGTGTGCTCCAGAGTTTGCACAGCATTTCTCATCGATATCAACCCCCTCAGCTGCCCTGCACACAGCAAGAAATCATCATTATCCACCAGAAAGCAGGAGTGACGGTGCAGAGAGGTAACATCACTTGCCTATGCAAAAGCAGCTTCAGGGAAGGAAGCTTTGGATGACCAAAGTCTCCATCCAAGCTGCTTGCCAGTGTTGCCAGAGGAACAGCAGCTGTCAGAAACATGTA